GGGCGAGCCAGGGGGCAGGGCGGGCGGGACCAGGGCCCGACGCCTGTGTCCTTGTCCCTTACGGGAAACTGACAGGCGGGGTCCTGGGGGTTGTCGGCCTCGCTGAGGCAAGGGTGAGGGAGTCCTGAAGGAGGTCCCCGAGGGGTCCCACTCAAGCTCTTCTTCCTCAGAGGAGGAAGGAGCGGGGGTCCAACTGTCCGGGACCTCCTCGGGGACTTGGGTCAGTGCTGGGAGGACAGGAGAGCCAGGCTGGACGGGCAAGACAGGAGAGCCGGGCTGGACGGGAGAGCCGGGCTGGACGAGCAAGACAGGAGAGCCGGGCTGGACAGGCAAGTCAGAAGAGCCGAGCTGGACAGGAGAGCCGGGCTGGACGGGCAGAGAGACGGCCTCAGGCAGGGCCGCGGGCAGAGAACGGTCTCAGACAGGGCCGCGGGCAGAGCGGCCTCAGGCAGGGCCGTGGGCAGAGCGGCCTCCGGCAGGGCCGCCGTCATGTGGCCAGCAGGGGGCGCCTCGGGCGTGCGGCCAGCAGAGGGCGCCTCGGCAGGCACCTCGGGCGTGCAACCAGCAGGGGGTGCCTCGGCGGGCACTGCAGTCACATGGCCAGCAGGGGGTGCCTCGGTGGGCACCTCGGGCATGCGGCCAGCAGGGGGCCCCGCGGGCAGAGCGGCCACAGCAGCAGCAGGCGGTGCCACGGGCAGAGAGGCGGCAGCAGCAGCAGGCGGTGCCGCGGGCGGAGAGGCAGCAGCAGCAGCAGGCGGTGCCGCGGGCAGAGAGGCGGCAGCAGCAGCCGGCGCTGCTGGCAGGTCCGGAGCAGGCAGGTCCGGAGAATCTAAGCCAGCGACTGCCACTTTAAGGGCTTTGGGGATCCGCGGAATAGCGTCCCTCATGGCGCGTATTCCCCCTTGCCCTAGACGCTCCGGCCGATAAAAGTAAGCCTGCATAGGAGGTGGCTTTTCATCGGAGCCCAGTAGAGCAGCAGAGGCGGGGTCCTCGCAGGCGGGGAAAAGCGAGCACGCTCCCAGGAAGAGCGTCGGGGCGGCTTCCTCCCCGTTTCCCCTTCGCCTCTTCTTCTTGCGCTGACCAGGACCGGTAGGAGGGGGCGGGGTTACCTCCTTGCAGGAGCGCGGCCGGAGCCGCTTCTCTCTTACCCGGTCGACTAGTTGTTGCAGAAGGGAGCGCACTTCCGCCATTATGCTTTCCTCCGCCAGGGCGAACAGGCCGGGATCCCCGCGGATCTCCGGCAGCTCGCGCCAATACGCGACCTCATGCAGCAGGACGAGCCAGAGGTCCTCGCCCTGCTGCGGTGCGTCTTTCAGGAGATCCGTCATTCTGTCACAATTGGGATCAGGCAAGCCGGAAAGCAGGCGAATGGAGCCATAAATACGGACAGACGGGGTTTATTAACGACGGGATGGCTGACAGGCACAAACATCGAAACAATACAATGACGGATCTGGGGAAGACTGACTGAGACTCGGACTAATTAATACATGAGACAAGGCAAAAGGAATAGGTAACAGGTGATGACAATCAGGAGTTGACATGAGGTAATGAGGGGGCGTGGCACACACGAGGATCGTTCGGAGCTGAACGTGAAAATAAGTGCCTTTAGAGTGCAGTAATGAGTGAAGCACGTAAAAAACAAACATACTCAGACTNGCACACACGAGGATCGTTCGGAGCTGAACGTGAAAATAAGTGCCTTTAGAGTGCAGTAATGAGTGAAGCACGTAAAAAACAAACATACTCAGACTGGGAGCCTGGGGGACCCAGAAAGCCACAAGCTACCACAAACCTAAAAGACAAGACTCCAGCAAACAACATCACAGCTGCACAACTCTGGCTATCCAAAGCTGTGAATCCAGAGCGAAGAAATCAGCAATAAATCCAGCTATAAAGACAGAAAGGCACAGCCCCGCAAAACACCGACTCAGGATTGCAGACAGAGGCACAGCCCCATCCACAGAGAGGACTCATCTCTCAATGTCTCTGCCACCTACTGGCCACCTTGCATCATTTAGTTATTTACACACTGGATGTGAGGCCACATTTCAACTGACTGAGCTTCCAATAAAACCATATAATGCATTTAAAATGTTATCATCGTAGTTGATTTCCTCTAAAAAGAAATGTGTTAAAAAAACAGCACAAACATGTTTTTTTAACACATGCACATTTCAAGATAGGAACAATACAATTAGTGCCAATTTTAGTTAAACCAGTGTATTAATCAATTTACCACTGTCAGGACTCGGGGAAACACAGAGCGAGGAAACCCGAACTGGAGTCCAGAATCAGGTAACGCAGGGTTAATTAGGAAGGCAATCCTAATACAGGACAATGAAGCACACGCAACGTTAATGACAGGACTGGGGAAACATACTCTGACGTGGACTTAAACTGAACTAATCGGAAATAACACAAAACAGTTGGTAAACACGGGGAATCCACACGGGGTAGATGAGGGGGCGTGGCACACGGGAGGATCGGACAAGCGGGGCAAGACGACCACATGCACTGTTTAACACAAAGTGTGATAAATTCACATTTTTCCACATTCAGAAACTATACTCAGACACAGTGCATGTACGTTCATGCATGCTTGTATCTTCTATTTGATTAACATTCAGCAACATTCTCTCCAAAAGACGGCAAGTCTGGTGGCCTTACAGCTGCTGCATCCTTTAAAGTAATGAAATTCATATTCATTTGCTCGTTCCACCATAAACATACAGGTATATTAAAATAATTTTTGTTTTAAAGTAATAAAAAAAACAGATCAGGTTAATCGAAACATAAATTTTCATCATTAATATATTATATAAAAATTAAAAATCTGATGCTCAAACTTTACTAGATGACGACAGGTATAGTAATACAGTTACCTGAGATTTATCCGGCACGGGCGATACATTACATTTTACATTACTCAAAAAACGGTTTTGCACTCCCCACCTCCCCCCCCCCCTTGCTGGCTACAAAAAGTCAGTACACTAAATATTAATTTATTGAAGCATCATGTTTTGCTAACCAGCTAACTGTATACGATCTCCTGACTCTGCTCACTAGAGCGGGGGGTGAGGGGGAACGCAGCTTTTGCACTCAGAAGGTTTTCCAGTGAATGTAAATGAACGAAGATGAAGTTCATTTAAATAATACATGGAGGACTGGCTAAATTTTGTTGGATAATTTTTTTTAGGGGGGCAGTTGCCATGCTGGAGCTTCTGAAATTACCAAATCGTTTCCTATTTCTGAAGATTTTTCTTTCAAACTGGTTGATTTCAGGCCAATTAAAGTACTGAAGACAAAATATATGATTTTTAAAGATAAATGGATTTATTCTTTTAATTACTCGTCAGCAAAACATTAAACGATTGCATGTAGCAGGTTAATTGTATGCTACTGTTGTCTGCAAACTTGATTCCCACATTATGAGTGACTTTCAGAATTTGGTTTCCATGGCGCTGTTCAGGCAAAATTTGGCCCCTTGGACAACAAAATAATAATTACCACTGTACTTCTACAAAAACTAAAAGCAAGGTTATCAGTCAACCAAGCATGGCCTTATATTCAACAACAAACACTCGATTCTGTGGAGAAGCGCAGCTCGTCCTGCCGATCCGAGCTGACGTATATTCACGGATAATGTCCACGTAATCAGGTGTTCTGTAAGAAAGCCGGGACCGTGATACACAAAAGCCGGCACCGTGATACAGGCCCCTGCAGTCTCCAAGCGAATTAACAGATATCTGGCACATTGTGCATTTGATACTAGTTTTGGTTATTTTCATTAAAATATGGTGTTAAAATGTATAACGTTTGATGAAGTAGTTATGTTGTTAAAGTGTGTTGTTAATTAACATTAATATTTAGAGTGTAGTGAAAATATTGTGGTATTTATGTTATTAGGGCTATTGCTTTGCCTCTGCTGAGAGTCCAAAATGCCTGTGCGCGGAAAAGCTTTGTTAAGTTTAGTGATGCGATTCCAGCAGGGGACGCTATTTACTCGAAAGTTATTCCCATACGGAATATTTAGACAATTTGAAAGTGCACATTCAGCAGCGTGTAGGACAAAGGTCACGGACTCCAGTAGAAGGATTAACTCACATTTATATACAAATATAAGTCTACCTATTTTCTTGCGACAGCGGCAGTTTTTGCGATACTGATTTAAATCTGCATTGTGTTATTGTTAGTATTCTATATTAATGCATTAGTGCATAAAGCACGCTTTCTGGAAATCGTAACATTTCAACGTTGATACTCTCAATACTCCTCGATGCTCCACAAAATGTATCAGTAGAAGTTTATAAGTAACCACTACGAAGATGAGACCTCCTGGATGTGGTCGATAACATTACCAATTATGTAACATTAAGACATCATTAAAATCGGTACGTCGTTAAAATCCACCCAAGTACAATGTCAACACAAGCACAACACAAGTAGCATACAGCGCTTTAGTAAAATGTTTTATTACATAAGAATATTTTTTAACATTAACTGCGTTAAATAGATCAGGTAATAATGTTCTTATGTTGACATTGGCAGGATCTTTGTTAAAATGTAAAAGATGGAAATAACGTTCTGGGAGCGATCCCTGTTAGCTGGGTCAGCCTTGTCATTACTTAGACTCGCTGTGCAGTCGCCTCTATATAAACACACATGTCAAGCAGCAACTTCGGCGTTCCGCGCTCGCCCCTGTAAAACAGCAGCAGGTTTTCAGGTTCGCGCGAACGTCTGGGTGGAGAAATACTGCCGGGAACATCGCCGCGGCGCCACAATGAAGCAGAAAATTGAATTTAATTAGACCCGAGGGGTGGGGTTGAAAAGAAGGCAGCGTGTGAGCCTGAGAAGCGCTTGCCTGTTTGTGAAGGGCACATGAGTGCTAAAGTGCTTTAAAGGGCGTGAGAGCGACATGTCCGGGGAAGGAGCGCAGCCGCAGCGCTTCTCCAAAGTGCCGGGCATCTGCCAGTGAGGACGGTGCGCTCCGGCGGTGCCCCAGCCCCGACCTCCGCATCACCACACCTCCAGCACCACGAAACGGAGCTGCGCTTCCTCAAGCGTTCCGCCGTTTCTCTTCCGAATGCTGGGAGCCATGCATGAGAAGTACACCCTGACCTCCCCCGAGAGGCTGCCCCGGGACGCCGAGGGAAAGGAATCGGTGTTCGCTGGAGGAGCTCTCCCAAAGCGAAGGATGCTGGTGGGACTGGATGTCATCTGCCTGCTCGTAGGTAAATAACCCTCTGCAGCGATAATACTCTCCGTTTATTAACTAAAGTGCCGTGTATGTTTCAGATCACAAACATATCCGACTTTAAATACTCTAATAAAAATGTCTACTGGACAAATGGAGGATTTGAAAGTCAAAGGTTGGGATGTCTGATAAATTAGCCCATATTCCAGCTTGTTGTTTCACTTACACCCCAAAACCAGACATGAATAATTAACTTAGCTATTCACCAAACTTTTGTAATAGTTATCTAAATAAAGCAAATAACAGAGATACGGGTTATTCTCATAAAGAAATCAGGAAACAGCTTAACTGTTGACGTGTCTTTGAAAAACTCACTGTCTTCACGGAGTTATCCATAAAAAAATAGGTGATCCACGTGGAGCACGGAAATATCTGGCTGTTACTCAAAGAAAGCAGCGTCTTTAGAGCATATGACCATACAGTTGTCTTGTAGTTGAAGGAGGTGAATCATTTTCCATGTGAACTGAGTAGCTTACAGATTACTCAGATCACCTCAGTCCACCTGCCAAGTCTGTATGACCCATGACAGCTGAGTACTACGTGGATATACAATTTCTGCAGGTGAAGAATTTGCATATAACCGATTTAACTTATTGGTGGGATGACATCATAGACGGTCTCTAGTCTCATTGTGTGGCTTTAATGAAGAGCAGTTCTGAGCAAAAGTTTGTAAAGAGGTCACATTATATGCTGAGCATATTATTATAACCGGTTTTAATTAAAACATGTGAAACCTTGCACTGGGAACAATACATTTGGACGGCAAAAAATGGCAGCTTCCTTTCTGAATGACAATATTGGTGATGTGAGTAATCTGTGGACGGCACGATGGTGCAGGGAGAAGCACCGTCGCCTCACACCTCAGGGTTTGAGTTTCCGCCATGGTTCCATGTGTGTGGAGTTTGCAGGTTCTCCCCATGTCGTCGTGGGGTTTCCACTGGGTTCTCCGATTTCCCCCACAGTCCAAAAACATGCTGAGGCTAATTGGAGATACCAAATTGCCCATAGGTGTGCATGTGTGAGTGAATGATGTGTTAGTGTGAGTGAATGGTGTGTGAGTGTGAGTGAATAGTGTGTGAGTGAATGAGGTGTGAGAATGGTGTGTGAGTGAATAGTGTGAGTGAATGGTGTGTGAGTGAATGAGGTGTGAGAATGGTGTGTGAGTGTGAGTGAATAGTGTGTGAGTGAATGAGGTGTGAGAATGGTGTGTGAGTGAATAGTGTGAGTGAATGGTGTGTGAGTGAATGAGGTGTGAGAATGGTGTGTGAGTGTGAGTGAATAGTGTGTGAGTGAATGAGGTGTGAGAATGGTGTGTGAGTGTGAGTGAATAGTG